GGGTGCTTCTAGGCAAGCAGGCACTCACAGCTGAATTGAGAGGGGACTCAAAGGCAGGCCTGGGGTGTGGGAGAAAGGAGTGTGAACTGGAGACTTACAGCCTGGCAGGGACTGACCTTTGAGGATCAGGGGCACGAAGGGAATCACAGGGGGCTTCATTTTGGAGATGATTTCTCTGTAGCTTTTATGGTTCCGGCAGGGGTCCTAGCATTCCACAGAAGGAGCAGAAACAGATGGGCCCAGTGTACCCCCAAAGATGTCTCCTATTCTCTACTGGCTAACGAAAGCCAACCCCACTCACCGTCAAGTTCTCAAATTTGCGGAACAGGTTCTTGAATTTCCCTGGCAGTTTCTGCAGAGTTTGAAGGAAGAGACAAGAAACATCAGGGCTGAGCTTCCTGTGTGAGCGCCCGCGGGACTGCTCTCCCTTACAGGGCTTTGGGCTTACACCTCTTGCAGGGGGAGGGGAAGCTAGCAGGTGAGGACAGAGAATCAGTCCTAAGGGTAAGTCAGGGAGTGTGGAACTGCCTGAGGAGCAGATTATTCTGGAGAAAGTGAGACCTCTGCCTACACAGGTGCCATGCACAGAGAGTGTTGCCTGAGACCCAGCTGATGCTCAGAGCAAGGGCACTTCAGCTGGGATTCTAGCTTTTGACTAATTTGCAAAGACACGAGCAAAGCTATATGTCCTGAGCAGCAGAGGCCAGAAGAGGGCACCTGCTTCCCATTGGCACAAAGACTGCCCACAGAGCAGTACCGGGAGGATGCGCACAGATCCTGAGCACAGATCCTGAGGCGGCATGACTGCTCTGGCGCTGTGGGTAGAGAAGGGAGAGGTCGTCTCACCTCCCAAGTGAGCCGCAGGCGGCTGACAGCTGCATTGTCCAGGCCCATGACCACAGCGTAGAAGGACAGCAGGTCCTGGTTCTGCTTGCAGCTGTGTGGGAAGGAGGCGGGGTCAGAGGGCATTGGGTAACTGTGACCTTCCCAGCCTCCACCGGCAGCACTCACATGGCGGCGATCTTGATGAACTTTTTGAGCAGCTGTACCCGCTTGCCGGGGGCCTCACAGAGCAGCACCTCAGTGGCCACCCAGTGAGTGACCTCGCTGCAGCGCTGCAGTAGCAGCTCCAAGTTGGCTGTCTCACGGCGACCACGCTCCCCATGGAACACGTAGTCCACGAACTCCAGCTGCAACCACAGTGGCAGAGGCGAGGCCAGGGCAACGGGGATGTGGGTGGGAAGATGGCACAGAGCACATGGAGAAGGAAAGACAGGCGTGAGTGGGTATGAAAATAGAAAAATAGGGACAGGACAGGATGTCACACAGACAACTAATGTTAACACTGCTCTCCACCTAGTGAGCATAGAGGCAGCATGCACTTGCTAAAACCTGTGATATCGCCCCCCTCCCGACACACACACTTACCACTTACTTACTGCTTTTTATCTTTCTTTCTCTCTTTTTAAGATTTTATTCTAGGGGCTGGAGAGATAGCTCAGTGGTTAAGATCACATATTGATCTTGCAGAGGACCAGAGTTCAATTCCCAGTACCCACATCAGGCACCTCACAACTGTCCATTATTCCAGGGAATCTGATACCTCTATGATCTTATACACAGAAATATACAAGTGCTCATGCATAAGTAATAATAAAATCTTTTTGAAAAGATTTTATTGGGGAGGCTGTAAATATTGCTCAGTAGTTAAAATGTATATTGGCTTTCTAGAAAACCTAAATTTGGTTCCCAGCACCCACAAAATGTGGCTCACAACTGTCTGTAACTCTAGCTCCAGGGGGATCTGATATCTCCAGCCTCTGTGGGCTCCTGCACTCAGATGTGTGCATGTATGAACGCACACATGTGCACACACAATTAAAATAAATCTTAAAACAAAGTTGCTGGGTGTGATGGTGCATGCCTTTAATCCCTGCACTCAGGAAGCAGAGGCAGGCAGATCACTGTGAGTTTGGGGCCAGCCTGATCTACACAATGAGTAGACCAGTCAAGGCTACTTATTGAGACTGTTTCAAAAATGTGCACACACATGCACATTCGTACTAAGGCCAGAAGAGGGCATCAGAGCCCCAGAAGCAGGAGTTAGAGGTGGTTGTAAGCCATTAGCTATGGAGCTGGGAATCAACTCTGGCCGTCTGGAAGAGCAGCAAGCAGCACTCTTAACCTCTAAGCCAACTCTCAAGCCCTCATATTTTTTGTTTATTTGTTTTAATTTATCTATTTTTATTTCATATGCATTGGTGTTTTGCTTGCAGGTAAGTCTGTGTGAGAATGTCAAATCTTGGAGTTACAGACAGTAGTTCATGGCCATGTGGTTGCTGGAGTTTGGACCTGGAGCCTCTATAAGAGAAGCCAGTGCTCTTAACCACTGAGACATCTCTTTAGCCCCCTTGTTTTTTTTTGTTTTGATACAGGGTTTTCTGTATCTCAGGCTGGCCTCCGACTCAGCATGGAGCCTAGGATAATCTGGATCCTTCTGCCTCCAAGTCCCAAGTGGTGAGACTAAAGGTGTCCTCCACCACACCTGATTTTCTAGTGTTGTGCATGCTAGGCAGGCACTCTACCAACTGAGTTACACCCTCAGCTTGGCAGGTATTTTTATGAATCCTGAAATGAATCCCAGTTCAGCATCTAAGTAGGCAGCACCTAAAACACTCTGCTTGCTGTAGAGGTTCTCTACCATTTCCCCACATGAGGGGACAAAGGCCTACCAAGGTTATACCTGCACATTGCCCATGTGTGGGCTGCAAAGGAGCCTTCTAACTAGGACTGTCTGCTGCAACAGCACATTCCCAGCCACGCCCGATGCCCAGCACAAGCCTGTCCCACCTCGTGCACACATCGGAACAGCTCCCAGTGGAAGGCAGTCAGATGGTTGGCAATGTCTTCAGGCTCCACCCGGTGAATCTCTGTATCTCCAGGGGAGACCTGGATCTCCTCAGGAAGGGGTACCTGGTGTCAGGAGGGGTCAGAAAAACTTGGCTTCCCGTGGTAGAGTGAGAGACTTGCTCTCAGCCCCCCTCAGTCTTGTTACCAGTCAAGACAGGTGAAGGAATTCTTACTAGGGCCTCATAGCTGTCCCGGGTACAGGCAAATAGGTGGCTGTTGATGCCCAGCGTGGTGAAAACACAGTCCTCTGTTGGCTGGAGGAGGACCTTCTCTGCAGAGGAACAGGCCATTCAGCTTTGGACACCCACACCCCACACATACCTGAGCCACCATCACCCTTCCCATCCAGAAACCATGAGACTATGCTGAAGCATCTTACACTAGTGGGGCTCTTATGCCCAGCTTATACCATAGTTTTCTGAGATTTGTAAAATGCTTTCTTTGGCATATGTAGACTCTACCCCATGTGACGCTCATCTCTCATTCCTTCATCTCCATGACACTCACAGGCTGGAATAACTTTTTTCTTTTTCTTTTTCTTTTTCTATTTATCTATTTATTATGTGTACAGTGTTCGGCACCAAATCTCATTACAGATAGTTGTGAGCCACCATGTGGTTGCTGGGAATTGAACTCAGGACCTTTGGAAGAGCAGGCAGTACTCCTAACCGCTGAGCCATCTCTCCAGCCCCAACTTTTTTCTTTTTAATATTTTAAAAAATCGTATTTATTTATATTTTATGTTTGAGTGCTCGGCAGGCCAGAAGAGGGCATCAGATCCTATTGCAGATGGTTGCTCACAACCATGTGCTTTCTTGGGAATTGAACTCAAGGCCTCTGGAAGAGCAGCCAGTGCTCTTAATCATTGAGCCATCTCTCCAGCTCAGAATACTTTTTCTTTATGGAAAATAAGGCTAAGATGAGCATGCTGGAGCATGCCTGAAGTCCTGGCACTTGAGAGGCAGAACCAGGAAAGACTGTAAATTCCAAACCAGCCCAGGGTTTTACACACACACACACAAGCAAGCACGCGCGCACACACGCACAAGCTGGCTCTCTGCCTCCCCACAGGATTAGAGCCTACACTATGTCCTCAACCTGAAAAAAAATGCAGCATATACAAAGCCAGAGAGAGGTATGTGTATGAAGGACCAGAACACAGTCTCCAGGTGGGTATTAGGTAGCACCCAGGACAGAACCCAATGATTCTGAGCCAGTGTGTCCCAAATTTAAATGTGCATAGGGATCCCCTGGGTATGGGTCAGGTGGTCTGGTCCAAATGCATATTCTACTCCTGTAGGTTTGGGATACGATCTCCTAGGTGATGCACTCATCAAGGTTGGACCCAGGGTGATGAGTATCAAGGATCTAGAATTTAGTGTTTATCCCTGCCTAGTATGCTGACCCTCACCTCCAGAGGAGGCAACAGCCACCAGGATGAGAGCATCCTCACGCTCTGTAGGCTCTTCTGAGTACTGCAGCTTCTCTGTCACAGAGCCCAGAATATCCTGCACTGATGCTGAGAGGCGGCTCCGTATGGTCACATAAGAGTGGTCAGGCATGTACACACGGCAGAAGACTGCAAAAAGACAGGAAAGGACTGTGAAAGGGACCGAGAGACTCCATTGAAGGTGCAGAAGGCTCAAGGACCCCACCCACCTCCTGGAGCCACTCCAGAAACTGTGCTCTTCCTAATGGCCATACTTACTCTCATCTGAGCCCCGGAATGCCACTCGGGTCTGCAGACAGGAATCTATCCGGCGGAAGTGGCGGAAGAGTGGCTTAACCTGCTTGCTGGGCGGCTGGCTCTCCTCTGGAATCCTGGCGTGAACACAGCCGGGCATCAGCAAGCCTGCCAGGCATATGGAGCACCAGGCAGGACCATTAAGCAGGGATAGGATAATGACCAGCATAGGACAATTGTCCAAGTGACCCAAATCAAATGCCATCTCTTTCAGGGGCTCTTCTCTGGTCCACCCACCCACAAGGGAAGGCCACTCACTCTCTTGTCTCAAATGCTATAAAACAATGGAACAATATTGTTCATGTTCGAGTCATCTTTTCTACCAGATCGATAGCTTTTGAGGAATGGGATTGGTTTTTACTGAGTGTTTTTCATCCTTCAGGTTCTAGCACATGTCTTGGCACATGGTAGGTAGCAGGACATGAGATGTCTGAACTTTGCTGACAAGGACTTCACAGTCTGGGAAGGAGACAGACATGCATACACTACTTCTAACACCAGCCAGCAAGCGTTGGTGAGATGACAAAGGTACAGGAGAGTGAGTTGGTGTGGGGGAGGAAGGAAACTCTTCCTGAAGGGGGAAATCTGAGATGTTTCCACGGAAGAGATGGGAAAGATCGGTCAGGAAGAGAGGGAGCTGATGGTGCTCCAGGGCATTTAACTAGGGAGCACGGATGCGTCGGGAGCAGGAGGGCGAGGGCATTGTTTATGAAAGTCTCGAAAATACCGTTGGTGTCAGAAGAGAAAAGGAGAAAGATGCAAGGCCAGAAGCTGAGGTCCTGAACAGGCTGTGGCAACAGTCTAGGTGAGAGTGAATGAACCTTGTAGCAGCAGGAATGGAGAGGAGAAAACCAAGGTATACTCCTGTCCTGAAGCTAGTGAGGTCAGTTTTGGGGAATTTTGTCAACTCTTCGTTTGTTTAGGTAATAGTGGGGATTAAACCCAGGACCTTACACATATTAAACAAGCACCCCACCACTGAGCTATATCCCAAGCCCTTATTATTATTTTTTTTATTTTGAGACATGATCTCAAAATAAGTTGTTCAAGCTGGCCTTGAATTGATGAGTCTTCCGGTTCAACCTCTTGAATACCTAGAATTACAGGGATGTGCTAACTTCCATAGCTGATGTATGTTTGTAAAGACTTATCTGTATTTTTAATGTGTATGGATGGGTATTTTGCCTGTATGTGCCTTGTGTACTGAATGCAAGCACTACATTTGGAGTTCAGAAAAGGCATCAGATCTTCTGGAACTGGAGTTACAGACGGTTGCTAGCAGCCATGTGGGTGCTGGAAATCCAACCTGGGGCCTTTGGAAGAGCAACAAGTGCTCTTAACCTCTGCAGAATTTTTTTTCAAGATAGAGTTTCTTTGTGTAGCTTTGGCTGTCTTGGAACTAGCTCTGTAGATCAGGCTGGCCTTGAACTCACAGAGATCCGCTTGCCTCTACCTCCAGAGTGCTGGGATTAAAAGCCATGTGCCACCACGGCCCCACAGTACACTAACTAAATTTTTTTTTTTTTCTTTTCTTTTTTTTTTTTTTTTTTGGTTTTTCGAGACAGGGTTTCCCTGTGTCTTTGGAGGCTGTCCAGGAACTAGCTCTTGTAGACCAGGTAACTTAGTCTTGAACTCACAGAGATCCGCCTGCCTCTGCGTCCTCGAGTGCTGGGATTAAAGGCATGTGACACCACTGCCCAGCACTAACTGATTTTTTAAGGACAGATGTTAAATATGTGTGTGTTCATTTTGCAAAGATGCCACTACACTTGAGGTCAAATAAATTATTATCAAAAAGATAGTTTCAAGCTAGGCAGTATGGCACAAATCCATGATCCCACCTCAGAGGCAAATTCAGAAGGTGGCTGCAAGTTTCAAAGACTCTGTCTCAAAAATGAATAAATAAGAAGAAAAAAGCAAGAAGAAGTAGCTTTTTCTGTGTTCTTGCTGTTTGGCATTGCCCATGCTGCAGCATTTTAGGCATATGTAACAATGTGGTGGAAATACACTGTAACTACCGTTGCAGATCTCTTCCCAGCTCCACCATCAGTGATGCCTTGTTGATAGCTTGAAATCAACCATGGTAAGAGAATTTACACTCTGAGAATCAGAGACATCAAATCAACCAGGGCTGTTTCTCATAGAGCACAGGTTGTTAAATACCTGCCAGAACACTACCAGATTAATAGGCAAACTGATGGAAAAAATGGACCAAAAATTAAAAAGAGACTGGAGCCGAGGGGGCCTGGTGGCACAGGAGGTAATCCTCCTGAGACAGGAGGATTACCAGTAGAAGCCATCTTGGGCCACACAGTAAATTGGGGGTTATCTTGAGCTACATAGTAAGTCACGTTGCTTAGCACCCCCGCCCCTGCCAAAGAAAAGACTGGGTTAGAGACAGTGTTCTGTGGTTCCTTACTCTCCAGTAAGGGAGAGGAGCTGAAAGAAACCACACTGAAGGGTTGAGGGGCTGGAGAGATGGTTCAGTGGTTTAGAGCACTGGCTGCTCTTCCAGAGGACCCCATCTCTGTTTCCAGCACCCACATGGTGCCTCACAGGTATCTGTGACTCAAGTTACTGGGGGACCCAATGCCCTCTTCTGACCTCAGCACACCCAATCATGCAGGTCATATGTAGATGTACATGCAGGCAAAACCATAAAAAACAAACAAATAAATATCTTAAAAAGCAAACAAACAACTAATATGTTGGCACAACAAGACCAGAGGCAGCCCCTGTAATCGAGGAACTCAGGGGACCCCTTCCCCCTACTTCAGCTCCACCGTCTCCACCAGCTGGTGCAGCCTCAGAGTGTCCTCTCGGAGGTCTTGGTAAAGGGACTCATCCTTCATAATTAGTAGATACAGTTCCTAGGGAGAGGGTAACAGATGAGATGAAGGCAGATGTCCCATCCCAGGGACCACTCACTACAAGGGCTGAGGCAGGGCCTTCATGCCCCAAGCACCCAAGAATCACATAGACCAAAGCCCACTGGCATCTTTTGCTTCTAGATACCCAACTTGAGGAGTGTGAATCTTTCAAAGGGCCCCCTTCCAAGCTGACAGCCAGCTCATGTGCCTTTTCCTTCCCAGGCCTACCTTGATAATGTGGCCGGCCCCTTCTTCCTCTTGCAGTAGTCCTTGGTAGGTATCCAAGAAATGGAGGAGTAGAGCTAGACAGGCTTGCTTCCGGCCCAGCCCCTCTGGACCCTCCACACTCCTTGACTGAACAAAGCTGACCCCTAAGTTAAGTAAAAGTTCTGGATGGCCAAAGAAACTGGGAAAGGCAAATTGCCCCCAAATATTCTGGGCTTGGATACCAGAGAAAAGGTTTTCAGGGACATGGAACCAAGACTTTTCACAGCCATGGTTTTGCTGAGAGTACAAAGAGTGAGGGCTTCAATTTATCACATTCAGCTCTGGCCTGTTAAGAATATTGCCAGGACCCATCTAATCTCTGACCAGCCCACAAACCTGACTTTACCTCATGGTGAGGCCTGGTTATTCTAAGACAGCCTAGTAACATTCTACTCAAGGGCTTGACAAATACAATTAGGTTTTAAAATAATTCAAAGAAGCCAGGCATGGTAGTACATTCTTTTTTTGTTTTGTTTTGTTTTTCGAGACAGGGTTTCTCTGTGTAGCTTTGGAGCCTATTGCTCTGCAGATCAGGCCAGCCTTGACTCAGAGAGATCCGCCTGCCTCTGCTCCCGAGTGCTGGGATTAAAGGCCTGTGCCACCAATGCCTGGCTGGTGGTACATTCTTGTAATCCCAGCATTAAGGAGGCAGAGGCAGGAGGACCACCACAGGTTAATGGTAGCCTGGTCTACATTAGTAGTTCAAATTGAGTCAAGTAGTGGTGGTGAATGCCTATAATCCTAGCACTGGGGAGGCCAGTCTGGTCTACACAGTGAGTTCCAGGACAGCCAGGGATACACACAGAGAAACCCTGTCTCAAAAAAAAAAAAAAAAAAAAAAAAAAAAAAAAAAAAAAACAGTGTTGAAGAGATGGCTCAGAGGTTAAGAGCACTGGCTGCTCTTGCAGCAGTCCTGATTTCAATTCCCAGCAACCACATGGTGGCTCACAACCATCTGTTATGAGATCTGGTGCCCTCTTCTGGTGTGCAGGCATACATGGAGGCAGGATGCTGTATTCATAATAAATAAATAAATAAATCTTAAAAAAAAATACAAACTACCTAGGATTACATAGTGAGACCTGTCTCTAAAAAGAAAACAAACAAAAGCCCCAAGTAAAGTGAATGCCGTATGCTGCCAAGAAACCCAGTGACTAGGCCAGCAGTAGCTCATCTCTAGCTGACCCCACTGAAGCACACCAAGACCTAACGCTGATATCAGACCCTATGTTTAGAGCAAGATCTTTTTGCTGTTTTGTTTTTCGAGACAGGGTTTCTCTGTGTAGCTTTGGAGTCTATCCTGGAACTCGCTCTATAGACCAGGATGGCCTGGAACTCACAGAGATCCCCCTGCCTCTGCCTCTGGGATACTGAGATTGAAGGTGCACCATCACCGCCTCCCTTGCACCTAACCCTTGCATAGGTCTCTCCAGAGCACTCTCACACTTGCAGCAAGGCTGATCCTCACAGCAACCCAGAGCAGAGCAACGGCTCGTCTCCATTTTACTGACTGAAGCAAACTGAGCGTCATGTGAAGTGATCTACCCAAGGTCATGCGCAGCTGGGGAGACAGAAAGCTGGTTGTGTCTTCTGAGGGAGAGTCCGGGCTGGGTTGCAGCTAGTGGGTAGGAATGACTCCCTCCTGGTCTGCCCTTCTATAAGCTCCATAAAAGGATATTACTGGTGTAACTCTTGTAGAAACTTTTCTGTTGGCAGGAAGAGGGAATGGGTGAGGACAATGTCATCAAGCAGAATATCTGTGGAGATCAATGGCGTCACAGATGTCAGGAGGGAGCTTCTAGGACCCGGCTGGAAACTCTGCACCCTCATTTCTTGCCTCTTTAGTAAGACTGGAGCCCTGGCCACCTGCCCTGTCATGCTCTGCACACGCGCATACACACATGTGTGAAGGTTCTGGGCAGCCGCTGCGGGGGTGGGGCTGGCAGCTGCCAAGGCAGCTGGAGGGAAGGGGGGGGTGCCTTTGAAAGCCATGCACACTTCTCTTCAGTGTGTGGGAAGTTGGTCAGATAATACACCATGCCTGAGATCTGCTAGGAAAAAAAAAAAGAGTCCACGGAAGGGGCCCTAAACAGAGAATTAGCAAACAGAGGTAACAGTCAGAGAGATGTAGGTGTGTGGGGATGTGTGTCCATCCCCCCCCTCACCACTCCTGACGTCATAGCTTTGACAGGACAGGTGGGGACCAGCCCCATTAAAATTAGGAGAGGAGACAGACTGCCACCTCTTGTTCTCAGGCTTTAAATAGAACCCCTGTGTCCTCTGGGTGGTGCCCAGAGGTGGAAGGGTTAATGATGAAGAGGAGAGGGGAGGGGCTCCTCTCACCACCCTTTCCCTCCACACCCCTGTCTGGGCCTGGCTCAGCCAGTCAGCCAGGTACAAGGTCGCCCTGACTTGCAGCCAGCCTTGGGGTGGGGCAGGGCTGCTTGGCACACACAGACAGGCAGGGCACAGGGTGGGAGCCAGGTGTCCTCAGCAGGACAGGTTAGGGCCAGGTCCCCAGGCACTGCTCCAGGCCAAAATTAAGGCTTCTGACAACCCTTGGTTGCCATGCCCTGCTGCCAGTGCCAGCCATGATGGTAGAAATGGGAGAGGCAACACAAGGTTGTCTACTTGGACCTATTTCATTTCACAGATGAGAAAACTGAGACCCAGAGCTGGGAGGCCCTTGCCTCGAACCAGATGAAGAATTTAGACCACCAAGTCTTTGTTCTTTCCTCAATATTAGAGGGCAACAGTGTCAGGGTAGAATCTAGTGGCCACAAGGGGCTGCCTAGACTTCTGAGGAGCCCTGGCTAGGTGTGGAGTGCCCTCAGTAAGCAGTTGTCTCCTCCCACACAGCCTGGGAGGAAACCAAATGGCTTGAGAACGTGGCTTATATTGGTAATATTGGAGTGGCAGGTTAAGCTGGTAGGTTTCCCAAACCAGTTTCCCTGGGGATTCGGCCTGCCAAGCCAGACACTATGGGTGACAATTTGGGAGTCTTAACCCAGGGGCACCATGCCCCTGTAGAAGAGGAAAGTCAACCTCCTTTTCCCTCTCTGCCCAGCTACCCTGCTATGTTCTGAGAGTGAGAAGCGCCCCTGGCCCTCATGCCCAGCTCTGGGGATAGGGACCAGGCACAAGGAGGCCTGACATCCTTCCAAGCATCTTAATCTCACTTGGGTGTGAATGCTGAAACCAGAGTAAAGGAAAAGGAACATGGGCAGAGTGGGGGAGATGCTGATACGGGGGCTACAGTTTGGCATCTGTTTCTTCCAAAGCAGGCTCTGGTCCAACGCACAGCCTCCCTGGGGAATGTGTCATAGAGACACAGGGTATGTGGTGTAGGCGGGAAGTTATGATTAAGAGAGCTGTGTGTGTCTGATATTTTTCTAATTAAATCCAAAAGGTGTCAGCTCCCCAGGGCAACTGCAGCCCGAGCCAAAAGAGATGGCCCCGACCTTCAGGAAAAGAAAGAAAAAATGGAGTAGAGGGGAGTGACACCTACTTATAAAGCCAGAGCACTTTGTAGAGGATGAAGAGTGGCATGTAACACCCTCATCTTTCGGTTCTCAACTTTGGGCTCCCAAACCTAAGACCCTCTGGGTTCAATGGAGTGTCTACTTAGACCTAAAGACCCTGCTGTCTTCTATTTCAGTCCTAGCCAGTAATGTGGGGACCTCAGTCCCTCGTAAGACCTTTAGTAGGGTGCTGGTGGGGAGGTTGAAATGGCATTATCATTTAGAGAATAAACCTCCCAGGGTGTGGTTATTATTTTTTTAAAGAAGCCTTATGCTGAGGCATGACATAGTCAGGGTGGGAGCCGCTGAGGCCCAGATCCTTCCGGATGCTGCAGCCTCCTGGTGCCTTTCCTTAGAGACCTTCAAATCCACCCCCTTCCTCTCCCCCGCAAGGAGGCCACTTTCCCTAAAGGCAGTCGGGTCCTGTGCCTATCCACACTGCCCCACCAAGTGAGCCAGCCTGTGCTCTGGGGGCTTCTACACAGCCAGGGATTCTTGTCAGGGTTTTCAGGCCTTGGATACGGTCTGGAGGGTGGTATAACCTCGGCTGGAAAGCTCCCATCTTAGGGTGTCAGCCCCTATTTGGGGGGCATGGGAGGAAGTAGGCAGTACCAAGGGCCACAGGAGACTGGCTTAAATGTCCAAGGGAGAGGGAGGGTGGCTGAAGGAGAGGAAGGTTGGTTTCTTCCCGGAGGATGAGGCTGTTGGGAGAAAGGTGGGTGGGCACTACCATGTCCCTTTCCCCTATCCTACTGCGGGGTTCCCCTCAGCTCTTACACTGGTGCCGAGGACAAGAAAAGAAACCAGGGCACCCTCTTGCTCCAGGAGAGATGAGCAGGCTTACCTGAGGCGCCGCTGTCCCTGGTAGTCCCTCCAGCCAGGCGCTCAAGAACCCGGTTCAGAAGATGCTCTGGCCGCTCGGGGGCGCCCAGGGGGGCCCAGGGAGGTGAAGCCAGGGGCTCGCCGGGGGATAGCTCATCGGAGGAGTACGAGGAAGGAGAGCGCACGGGTACCCCGCACCCAAGAGGCCCTGGCCCGGGTACCTCTTCTAGCTGCAGCCAACAGGGCCCCCCGCTGCCCGGCTCCTCCGAGCCCCCCAATGGCTCTCCCCCTTCCTCCTCAGCGGGCGGCTCCAGCCCGGGCTCAGCTGAGGGCTCTCGGAGGAAAGCTGGGAGCAGCAGGCGAGAC